GCGATGCCATCAACACTGGCCATCTCGTCACCATCAAGCTGCGGCTCTCCGGTCCCGAATGGTCTCCACAGCTCACTGGGGATATTGCTGGGGTCCTCGAAGTTTGCAACTGAAGATTGACTCAGGGGCTCCTCAACTGATTCATCAAAGTCAGCATTGGATCCAAGCTCAAGGTCTTCAAGGCAAACTACCTCATCACTGTGATGATGTGCTTTCACAGCCTGAATCCTGCGACGCTTGGCTTCAGTTTCGACATTGTGCTCAGCGGGCAAATCAACAGCCGTTTCATCCATGACATCATCACCATCTTCACCCCTAATCATTTCTCCAACACCATACCCTTCATCAGGCGTGGTCGGCAGACCGGGGCCGAGGCCTAAACCCAAACTAGGATTAGGGACCGGGGTTGGTGAAGGAGGGGAATCGTCTGTGACCAGCGCACTTGCAGGAGGCGGTAAATGCTGTGGCAGTCGAGAAGGCTGGGAAGGCTCACGTACAGCCACTTCCCTTGGGGTAGCTGAAGCCGACTCACCCGGCAGTCTCACAGAGGACGGTGCTGGTGCAATGTCATGGGGATTATCTATCACATCTTCATTCTCAGTCGGTGGATCGCTTGCAGCAACCTCGCTTCCACTGCCAACCTCCTCAGTCTCAACCTGCTTTGGGCGCAGCTGATTACGGCTCGCGCCAACCCGTCCTGCCAAGAATGACACGTGCTGCTCAGGGGTGTCCCTCAAGGCTTCCACAAGACTTGGGTCATACTTGCAGGTGGTCCTCCTCACGGACCTGGCCGCAACAAGGCGACCGGCGGATGTACACACAAGGTGGCAGTCAGACACATCCGATTTGCCAAGCCACATGGCCCTCAGCCATCGCGGCTTGCCCTTGGTTGCGGACTTAACACGGGCCAGCACGCACTCGGCAAAGCAGACCAGTTTACCCCCATATGGCGAGCCATGCACTCTTTCCCAAGGCGTCAAGTTTTGTGTTACTCCAAAACGCTGAAGGATCCAACCTGCATGCCGCCAGCACCACTGGTGCAA